AAATATCACATTAAATTACGGAAACCTTTCCTTTTGATAAATTAAAAAATATAGTGACAATTAAAATAAAAATATATGACATTAATAATAAAAAATATAGTAATAACATCACCCAAAAATAAGAGTGGGTTATTGGCACACTCTAAATAGTCAATACCACATTTTTTTAATGTGATTGTCTACCATACTTTTACATTGTACTTTTTTTCAAAAATTTATAGTTATTTGCTTCTTAATAAATTAAAGATTATAATGGTCAATTAAGATAAAAAGGTGTGGTATTAATAATGAAAAATAGTTAAAATTGTAAAATATTAGTTATTAAATTATGAAAAGCTTAAAGGTTACCTCCATCTAATATATTGTTGGAGTTAAATTAATGTTGCATAAATTTAAATTTTAAACCTTAAATTAAGGGTTTTTTTTTTTTTTTAATCTTGGTTACACAATGGCAAACAACCATCTCTCATTCTTTATTCCATCCTACCCGCATACTATGCAACTTGAGTTCAGGATCTTTTACTTTCAGCAGAATGAGATAATTACTGCATTATTTAAGTGGTTGGCTAATATTTTAAGGTAATGCATATTAATTTGACCAAGTTTAAATTAATAAATCACTATCTAATAATTATGCAATGGCTGGCAGTGCTATGTTAAGTTGTGGCCATAGGGTTTTTAATATTTGATTTTTGTCTTAAAAATATATAAAACATTAATTAAAATTAATAAAAATAAAAAATTAACTAAATATAATTAAAAATAATAAATTTATATTTTTAAATAAAATGCTATTTGAAAGGACTTATGACAAATATTTTCAAACGAAACTATATAAATCTATTAATCTACAATGTAGAACGACTGCTGTTTTAAAGTGATGAATTTCATCTAATTCAAATTATATCCGCTGATTATCATGTTTGCTAGTAGATATAATTTCAAATGTTGTTTTTCTTTTTCCATTTTTTTTTGGTACATTCAAATGTTGTTTTTGTTTTCTATAATTTCAACTTCTAACAACTTTAGGAAAAATTACAGAACATGTAGAGATTTCCAATAAAAAATCGCCAATGCAGAAACAGGGAACAGCATAAAGAGTAAACGTCACCTCTATAGATGGAGGAAACAAAGTTCCACAAGCATAGCAGAGCCAACGGAGAAAGATTTTGAGCTCCACAAGCAATCAATAAAGTTGGTTTAGTAGGAAACCTTCTCATAAAACTTCCAAGTAATAATAATTATCATATGGAAATAAAACCTAGC